TCTGATGCTGCTTGGCCTGCTGTGTTCATCCAGCTCTGCACCTTGTCATCTTAGATTTAAGCAAATCAGCCTTAATTTGATCAGCAGGTAAGTGTATAACGAAATTAACAATATAAACGAATAAATAAAGTAAGCATTGAGCTGCACACAGAAACCAGAACATTCAACAAGACAAATATTTAATGAACTATGCAATGAATGAATGAAGTGATTCCCAATAACTAATAGCCATGATTCAGTCAAATTCCCCCATTTCATCTCCATTATCAATTTCTATGATAGAAAATTGCTAGGGCAAATTTGTAGATAGCTTTTGGGTTACTAGTAACTGTTTAAGTGCAGAGCAAAAAAAAAGTTTAAATTTGCCATTTACGGAAATGTACATTAGTTTGATTTGTTTTTCTTAAATATCTTCTCACTTGCCAATTAACATCAAAACAATTTTCATTTTAGCATGCTTTCTTCCCCTTAATTCAGTTGCATTTTTCTGATTGTTTGCTTTAACATAAAGTAAACAAAAACGCTTCAGGCACTGAGCAAACAGGATTTCTGAAAAATAGTTTTTCTTTACATTAATCAATCCTACCAGAGGCAGTTAGAAGCAACTCTTCATTGAAAGACACAGTTTTCCTCAGACAGACTGGACTCACATAGCCAGAATGAGGAGGAGTAAGGCTGTGCAGAGCCTCCGAGCGAAGGAGATGTGTACTTTTATGAAATGGGGAACTGGAAGAGAGAGGAGGGGAACTGGGAAAGAGGAAAATCCTAGGCCCCTCAGGGAAAGGTGCTGCTGGAGAAAGGTTGCAGAAAAGAAGATGAAAAGAAGTTGGAGTTTCAGAAGATCACGCACGGAAGATGAAGAAAACATTACAATGGGAAATCATACAAAAGCAAAACAAATTAAATATACATTTGGCAAAAAAACACGTATACACAAATTACACAAAGAACCAATGAAAACCTTCAGAGGCTGATTCAATCAATTGAGAAAACAAATACTTTTTTGCATATTGACATAAAATGATACACTTATAAAGGGCATTATGCATTTTCTGTACTATTGAAAAAGTTTAGTCCTTTGGGATTTTAAATTAATTTCTTAGAACTTAGGGTCTTAAGAAAATATTAGCAAAAAAGGTTTCCTTACAGTTCAGATGTAACATTTTAAGCTAACTGAAACAATTTGGAAGCCCTGTCAATTAAATACTTGGAATAGCTGACCCATACACGGATAACATTGTCCCAGTGGGTGCATAAAATGAAGAATCTTTCTCGAGCACATCTTTCTTAGTTTTGCTCTACCTACAAAGCCCTCCCCAAAGCACATGAGAAATAATTGCTTAACACAGATGCAACACTCCTTCTGAAAGCAGACTAGTTGTCTTACCAATGATTTATGCATTTAAAATCAAAAACCTATGTTTAGTTACACTGTCGATCTGTAGTACTGGACAAGCTTTTTGTTTGAAAATGTGTCCATAAACAAACTTGCAACCTAGCTAAAAGGATGTGAATATCAAATTCACAAACTACTACAGACATTCCACATAGACATTTAAATCAAAACAAACTATTTTAAACGTCATCACAATAAGAAAAAGTACAGACTAAATTTGGCTCATCCCATTCTCTGGATTCCTTTAAAAAGTGTCTTTTGTAAGTGGAGAAAAAAATGGCTATTCCTAAAGTAAAAACTAATTGGTCTATATTTTGCAGTTAAAGTAATAGCAAAACTGTCAGCATTTGCCCTCATTACAACTGTCAGAGATTCCTAGATTCTCTACAATGTGTATGTTAAACTTCCCACAAATGGAAATCTTTAGAATGCAAAAACCTGAATGACTTCCAGCTTAATTTTACTGCATTTGTTTCACTGACAGAAACCCTTGAAAAGGTCAACTTGTTGAATTGGACGTAACTGGGTGTATAACAATTTTTCAAGTTTATAACTGTCACTGGACAACTTTTCTACACCAAAAAACCCTAATTTTATATCTGTGGAATGCCAAAAGTCTCCATTATTAAACAAATCCATAATTTTTTAAAGTAAAAACTAACAGTGCATTCATAGACTTTCAGGTGGGAAAATCAACTTATTGAACTCTAATTGATACAGTAGACATTAACAATGCAGTATCCTTTAAAAAAGATTGTTCATTGATGGCCTTGACATGCACACCGAATCCAGTTTGCAAAGTCCACTTATTTAAAAAAATTATATCACAGGGCGTGGGCATCGCTGACCAGGCAGCATTTGATACCCATCCCAAACTCCCTCGAGAAGACGGTGGGGAATTGCTGCAGTCTGTACTGTTGGAACATCCACTGTTAGGAAAGGAGTTTCAGGATTTTGACTAGCACAAAGACTAAAGACAATGCTTTTGGTCTTTCCAAAAAGTTAGCTGGAGAACATTTCCACTCAACTAATGCGAAATGTCAGACAATTAACCTGAGAATTTAGAAACCGTAGGGGGATCAAGAAAGATGGAGGGATAGAACTAAACAGCATCAATATACATGTGGAAATCGATGCTGTGCTTTGATAACATATAGGGGCCAAGATTAGCTCCCTAGGGGACAAAAGGCTAACAATGTGAGATCAGGAACAGAGAAGCCATTGCGGATGACTCTCTGGCTATGACTGGACATATGTTACTGCTTGACAGGAGATAAATATTTGGGACCCAGGAAAAGGCATAGGAGGAGGTAAAAAGACAAGTGCTACACAGCAAAATGCTAGGTAAGGGTAGCTGGAAGTTTGGTGAATGAAATTTTGAACAAATCTCCCCCAAGAAGGGGAGCAACTCCTCCAGAAAAACAGAAGGGTTCAGAATTATTAAAATGTGCTCAGTGATGGGAGTCTTGTTGAAGATAATAACGATGATCCAATAAATATGAAAGCTGGTCAGGGAATAACCAGTAACTGTGAAACAAGTAGGAGAATGGCTTGTTCCTGTGCTTTGCTGTTCTGTTTATCTTTGGTACATGCTTCCAGAACATCAATTTTCACATTGGATCTGCATTTTCAGGCTTCTGTACTCCTTCTTCAATTTCTACCCTTAATAAAGTTGAACCAGACTTTGGTGTTGGCCTAGTTCTTTTCAAAGGTTCTTCTCTCATCATTTAACAATATCCTGCTTTTCTCTTGAGTAGGTTGCAGTTCCCAAAATTGGGTTGTCTCATTTTTTGGCATATTGTATTTAATACCTTGCTCCTTCCCAAGTCAATCAAAATGCTTTTGATTTTCAGCATGCTAACCAAAACATTTGTCCGTCATTGTCCTTTACAGCAAAGTCTTGCCAGCAATTTTGTTTTAATGCTTCTGCTTCTGACCCCAGGAAAGTAACAAAACAGTCTAGATGAAGAGTTTCATACAAAAAATATGGATAAAACTAGTTGGACCAAAAAGAAAAAATAATATCCTCAAATGCTAAGGAAAAATCCAACTGTTTCAGTTTTTGCTCTTGTCTTAAGAAAATTATAATAATCTAAATTAATGTTGTTAAACATGAAATATGTGTACTTTAGCAGATTCATGATGTCTGTACCTGCATCCATGATCTCACAAGGGCACATTCCTATTGCTATCAATGTACAATAATTCTAGAACTCCATTTACCCACTACCATTTCAAACATATCAACTGGTTTCCAAAGTGCAGAAAGTAGAAGCAGTCAAAACAACCTTTGGGTATCTTTTGAACTACCATCTGAACGTTGTTGATCGTGACCAAGACATTTTTACTCAAAAAAAGCACATACACCTGGATAGAACAGGATGAACACACAATGACAATTTATAATTCAAAATCTTCAGATGTTTGTAAGCCAAGTTACAGCCAATTCAAGCTGAAAATTAAGGGGGCTGAAAAATTATTTAAACCCAAACAGAGTATCCAATTCCATCATTATTTTCCCAAAGACAGACTTTAGCTCAGCTTTTGTATGTTAAAAGTGTCCAGCTAACATAAATAGTTAAATTTCCACAGCATCTGAATTCATTCATTGTGATTGAAAGACTTAATGAAAATAATTCATCGTCCAATTCAGTTTGCTGCTCTCTAGATCAACAAGAGGAATAAGGTTTAGTCAAACAGAATGAGGTGCTTCAAGTGCAAAGAAACATAAATTTACAACAAAAAAAGAAGCGGGGTGGAGGTGCCTTACCAGTTTTAGGTGTCAAACTCAAATCTGTGTCAGAAGAGGAGGACTGTCGACTGTAGGACTTGGAAGGTGAAAAGGAATAGGTTTGATTTTTCAGTGGGGTGGAGGGTCCAGATGAATGAGTAACAGGGTTGGGATCTTCACTGAAGGGAACCCTGCCAGAAGAAGCGGGAAACACATTCAATAACCCTGTGTTAAGGATCTAAGCAATGATGGAATGATCCAAATACAGGGGAGACAGCAGTTGCTTCTATGTGCAGGCTGGGGACGACGCCAAAAGGCAGAGATCCGCTGTCCATACACTGAAGATTCTGGGGAAACATATGGCTACCCAGGTTTGTACACGACACACAAGAAACAGGTTATAAATTCTGGAACACAAATCAAACCATGTACTAGAAACCTGAGCGAGATGATCGTGTAAATAAAACAGCATGAAATATGACTTTAAAAATACACAACGCATTTTAACTAGATAACAAAAGAAAGCTTGAGGAGGCGGAACTGAAACTCATGTTTCCTTATTCCGGAACACCAAAATAGTGCATCACAGCTAAAAATGAAAACAAAAAAGATTTGTTAAGTGAAGCTTCTGCATGTTTTACTCAAGTTACTGGTAAACTAGAAACCAAAACGTCCTCTGGTACTTTATCTTTAGAAATGTTATGCTAAAATCTACTTAAAATTTGATCAATATATGTCTTGGTTCCGGAAGCTGGACTACTAGTTAAACCAAGAAGGGGTTGAAAATTTATGGTACCTTCCTACACTACCTGCCTGGCATTACTCACTGAACCCTCTGCCTGTGGCCCGTCTATCCCCATCTCCTCAGCCTGTGCAGTCTCATACCAGTGTAGATGAGTGTAGGAACAGATACAGAGAAGTTCTGAGTTAGTCTCGAGCCCGTAGCAGTGTGAATTGGGCTGTTGTGAGTCGAACGGCATCCGTGGCTTGGCTGATGCACCAAAGGAGACCTGACAGAAAGAAGCAGGAGGCAGGAGAAAAAAAATACACACGGTAGAACTGTCAATGTTAAAAAAACAAATGTGAGGGAGTAAAGATATAAAGCAAGCATCTTCACTTTTCAGGATAATATACAAGTAGGATTACCAGAAACCATGGAATTACCCAATAGGAAATATCTGCAGACATAACCAGCATGCACGTATTAGAGCCATTTAAAGGTGACATGAAAAGCTGGGGAGATGGACAGTGAAACTCAAGGTTAACACACATTCAAATAAGTTTTAAGATTACAAACTGTTTTTTAGATCATTATTTGCAAAAGCTTGAAGATCTCAAACTGTAAATGTTTAAAAGTATTTCACATCATACAATTTTCCAGCTTTCTAGAATTGGCCATGCAAACATTAGTGTTATATGGAAATAAAGATACTGTAACAGCAAAAACAATTCAGAGTTTTACAGCGATGGGATCTGCAGAACTTTATTCACTGGAGGAGCAAATTAAAAAGGTTTATTCCTTTTTCTGATGACATTTTGTTGGCATGCCTCTCTTCAAGTATTTCACTTTACGAAACAATGATGAGGGCAAGTAACTCATCTGTTTTCTTGGCCAATATTGCTGAGATAGCTGTTATGGCATATGCAAGGAAAAAGCACCACTGGCACATCCTCCCATATAATTAAAATACCTCCACTTTGTTGACAACATTCAAAAAGATGAATTGATCTATAATTGCAAAAGACATTATTCAAAATAAATCATTAATTGTGAAAAGGCTCTATTTCACCCTTTAAAATTAAGAACTTATAAAATGAGAGCCTCACTGAAAAATATCTGTCATACTTCGAAAATGTCTCTTTCCAATTTATTTTTAATAATATTTTTGACCAGTTTGATCATTAATACTGTCACTGAATTATTAATTTACGTAAGTGACATTCAGTTCCTCTGAACACCGATGAAGTCAGGGCTGCTCCGTACCTCAACTCCATATCCCCACCTTTGTCCCAGATAACCTATGGATAACCTATAAATCCGACAAAAAAAAGCTATAAATCTCAGATTTAAAATTTACAATCAATGTAGTATCAATAGACATTCACGGAAGAGAATTCCAAGGTCCAGTTCCCCCTTTGACTAGTTCACCAGTTACTCACCTAGTCAAGCATAGAAATGTAATATTTCAATGGATCTTTGTATTCATGGTCTTAGGAATGGATACTGTACCAGCTATAGTCTGCTGTTATTTAGCGTTTTTAACCAAACCACATCCATTGGGATATTCTAAGGTCAGGAAAAATGTATGACAAATGCAGACCATTCTTTTTCCATAATGATTTATTTAATGGATATTGCATATGGGATTTCTATTTCAGGAACATTTATAAATAATGCATTTTATTAAAATGGTTCAAGTATGGGCAATTTATACACAAAGTTCACTGCGACTGCCTATTCACCTTTGGGACCATGGTTTTACAAACAATCAAAATAATTTTTGTTCCCTACCAGATGTAAACTCATCTGTTCCATTAACCAAATGAGATACTAAATTCAAAAGCTAGCAATGATATTTTTTAAACAATGAACCTTCTGATAGAAGTATCACTTTTGATAGTTACCAAAAGAACTGCAGATGCTGTAAATCAGGAATAAAAACGGAAGTTGCTGGAAAAGCTCAGCAGGTCTGGCAGCATCTGTGAAGAAAAAATCAGGGTTAATGTTTCGGGTCCGGTGACCCTTCCTCGAAACTGACGATAGCTAGGAAAAAGTGTTGGTTCATGTAGAAGATAGGGAGGGGGAGGGGACAGAGAGTAAACGATAGGTGGGGACAGAGCCAAAGAGAGTAGAGCAGATGGGTAGATAAAGGAGTTGATAATGATCTGGCTAGGAGGGTGAATAGCTGTTAATGGGGACTGTTAGTGACTAACGATAGCTAACTAAAGATAGGCAGGCTATATGATAACAAGGCCTGGTGTGGGGGGTAGAGGGCTAGGACAGGGGAGAGTTTAGACGCTAAAATTATTGAACTCAATGTTGAGTCCAGAGGACTGCAGGGTCCCCTGCAACCAGCTAAGGTGTTACACATTTACCTCCTCCCTCCCCAGTATCCAAGGGCACAAACATACCTTCCAGGCGAAGCAACAATACATCTGCACTTCCCAGAATCTCGTCTACTGCATTCGCTGCTCACAATGTGGTCTCCTCTACATTGTGGAAACAAAGTGTAGACTGGGTGGCTGCTTCACAGAACATCTGCATTCTGCTCGCAAAAAACAAAGACCCTGAGCTACCTGTTGCCTGCCACTTGAACACACCACACCATTCCCTGGCCAACATTTCTGTCTCTGGCTTGCTGCAGTGTTCCAGCGAAGCTCAGCACGAGCTGGAAGAACAACACTTCATTTTCCACTTGGGCACACAGCAGCTCTCTGGACTCAATATCAAGTTCAATAATTTTAGAGCCTAAACACTCCCCTGTCCCAGCCCCCCACCCCACACACCAGGCCTTGTTATCGCATAGCCTGCCGTTACACACTACCAGTCCCCATTAACAGCTATTCACCCTCCTAACCAGATTGTTATCAATTCCTTTGTCTATCCAACTGCTCTCCTCTCTCTTTAGGCTCTATCTCTCACCTATTGTTTACTCCCTCACCCCTCCCCCTCCCCCTCCCTAACTTCTGCATATAAACCATCGTTTTCCTAGCTACCATCAGTTCAGAGGAAGGGTCACCGGACTCAAAACGTTAACTTTTATTTTTTTCTTCATAGATGCTGCTAGACCCGCTGAGCTTTTCCAGCAACTTCCGTTTTTGTTCATTTTTGATAGAGTTTATTTCATGACAGTAGCTTTTCAGGTCCTCTTTAGACATTTTCACAACAAACTGAGGTGCTGCTTAAGAAAAATGGAATGCATAAATCTCAAGTCGGCATTAATCCTTTGAGAACAATTACGGATGGGACAAAAAGCATAATAGGAGTTGGTGCATCTTCCAGTTTGAAGAAAGCCATTCATACCCACCAAGTAAAGCTGGAAACAGGGGAATTTATTATGCAATAATGGAACTATAATGCTCCAAGATAATGAGACTTTTCCAATTTGGCAATACACAATAGCAGGCCTTCACAAACTTAGTGCGCAAATCATATTTTCACATGCATTTATAAATTATTGTTACTTGAATACATAAGGTCTGAGCATACAATTGAATGCACGCAATCACAGCTTTTGATACTCAATACAGGTGTACAATTTGCATCAAATTAAACAATGTTCAAAGGTTTAAAGTTCAGAGTTTAAAGATCAGACTTATATTTCAGTTAGGATAACATTTATTTCCATTCTTTTTGAGTGCTGCTCAACTGCTACATAAAATAGGAGAGGCTATTAACTCACAGCAAGGAGCAAGGAAATTAATAAAGGCAATGTCACAATGCTTCTTGAAAAGGAAAGCCCAAAAGGAAAAAAAAAGTGCACTAAAAATTTACAACATAGAAACAGGCCACTCAAGCCAAATGGTTGACACCTATCTTCTGCTCTTTCCACCTAACTTCATCTCATTCTTGCACCATGTCCATCTACTCGAATTTACTTTGTGCTTACCTAGCTTCCCCTTAAATGCACCTGTGCTATTCACATCAATTATGTGGCAACACATTCAAAGTACTCACTTACTTCTGCACAACATAAATTCAAAATACCTGCTGTGTTACCAGAGAGATAGAAATGAGAGAGACCGTGTGAGACGGTGAGAGAGACAGACAGACGGAGTGAGAGAGAGAGACCGTCAGAGATAGACAAATGGGGAGTGGGTGGGGTAGGGGTGGAAGGGGGAGGGAGAGAGAAAGAGAGAGACAGACACACAGAAACGGGAGACGGAAAGAGATAGAGATACACGGACAGAGAAAGAGACACACATGGATAGAGAAGCACAGCCCTGGGGTGTGGCAGAGAGACGGAGGGAGACCAGACAAGACCCGAGTGGGTGAGTGGGTGAGTGGGTGAGTGGGTGGGTGGGGAGGGGTTGTAGACAGAGAGATAGGGATGGAGTTGGGTGTAGCTGAGAATTTCAGCGTTCCAGGCCCAAGGCTAATGTCCAGTTTGTCCTTGAACCCTGGTCAGGGATCGTGACGAAGCACCTCACCCAGAGAACGCTTGGTCCAGTCCTCGCCTCACCAGAAAGCACGTAGTGGTGATGGTGGTGGTGACGGTGGAAGCTAGTTGAAAAACTGAATGCCATCAAATCTCATGAGGGGCTGGCTGTAGCCACTGTTTTTTGAACACCGTGCCCCTGGATCAAGCAAACCGCCATAGGAAGGATATTAAATTGGAAAGAGTGCAGAATGTTGCCAGGAATGGAGGGTTTGAGTTAGAAGAGACTGGGTCAGCTCGGACTTCATTCCCCGGAGCATAAGAGGTTGAGGAGCGAGCTAATTGAGGTTTATAAAATCACAAAGGGCATTATCAGATGAATAGTAAAGGTTTTTTATCCCTCGGCTTGGGGAGTTCAAAACCAGAGGATATATTTTTAAGGCGAGTGGGGAAAGATTTAGAAGGGACTTGAGGGGCAACTTTCTCCACAGAGGATGGTGCCTATATTGAACAAACTGCCAGATGAAGTGGTAGATGCAGGTACAATTACAACATTTAAAAGACATTTGGACAGGTACATAAATAGGGAAGGTTTAGAGGGGTATGGGCCAAAAGCAGACAAATGGGACTAGTTTAGTTTAAGAAACCTGGTCGGCATGGACGAGTTGGGCCGAAGCGTCTGTTTCCACGCTGTGTGACTCTTATGACTACTCCCAACAGCAGATTTACGCTGGCTACAGAATTAGTGGGAAAAATCACCTGCATCCTGGCAATTCTTAACTTTTGACAGAACTGGAATTTTATGCGAGCCAGAGACCTAACCGTCATTGCCCAAATCAGAAGAAGTCACTTCACTCGGCTTTATCTCGGGTAGTTCGAGATGAGCTGCTATGCCGTTCAGAATGCATAAATTATATTAAAACAAATATAGCCAACCTACGTACAGGTAACCCCTTACTTTCACCCACTGGCATCACTGAAACAGCTCAGGAGAAAAAGTTGCCTAGATCTGACTGGCAGGTTGAAGTATATGCTTTTTTCAAAAACAAATTAAAGGAAATATGTCTGTGGGCACATGGTATTGCACAGGAATTAGGAGCACACTTGGAAATTACAATATTGATGTTCCTTTTATATTCTGACCAAGATAATATCAAGAATTCATGAATTTCAGCAGCTTAATCAGATGTCTTGAGCAACTTGGTAGGTACTCCGAAAAGGCCTCAGTTAATACCAAATGAGCCTGGCACTAACCGTGGTCTATCACAGGGTTTTCAGCTCGACTCAAATCAACATTATGAATATTATCATCTTTACAAAACTGACAATCAGCAAGGAGAATCTTAGAGTGGCTGAAAACATTTCAAATGAATTTATAACAAAGCATACAACAGGAGTGCCATCACATAGTAAACTTAACTTTCTGCAAGATGTTTGTGAATCATTGTTGTCATTGCCTCATCCAAGACCTTGTTTGATGTCAGAAATGACAGGCATTAACACCAATATGAAATTAAGATACCAATTCAAGTAGTTTGAGGGTTCTACTTGGTCCTATATTTATTGGCATTTTGGTTCATTTTCATTTCTGATCACTGATAAAATTTCTGGATTTCCTTGACTACTAAAGTTGAAATAGTTCAGTTTAATCCTCCATTAATCCAGCTCTTTAAAAAGACCATAATCTTAACATAGCCTCCATTTCTGGGACATTTTTCCACCATGTTTCTCTTACTTTTGGGCACAATAAAAAGGAACAAGTCATATTTTGATAACTAATCCTTCACTCATCCCTAATATCCATGACTCTCATTCATAAATTATCTTGTTCCCTTTCTTTTATCCACAAGACTAACATTGTTCTCGGAATTTCCACAAGCTCTTTGTAATCATTTGTCAGAGCGATTTGTGCAGCGTTACAAAAGTAAATGGGATATTCCAGTGGCCAGGCCTTCCAAACACTCATTCAGACATATCCACTTGCTAAATTAACAGGCCTTGAACAACAAGAGAAAATTGTTGGTGTCTATCACTAGGATGCATTCACAGTAATTTTCATACATTTCCAAATCAAATACCAGCATTCGCTGACTGACATAGGGCTGTTCTCCCTTCCAAAATGAACTTCACATTTTCCATATATGTTCCATTTGCCAACTTTTTGCCCACTTAATCTCTGTTAACTGTTTTGTTTCCTCTCATAACTTGCCTTGCCCCTATTTTTGAGAGTATGCAAATTTGGCTACAGTACGTCCACTTCCTTCGTCCAAGTCATTGATTGCATAAACAGCTGCAGTCCCAGGACTGTTTCCTGTGGAATCTCATTGGTTACAGGTTGCAAACCCCTTTTTCCCACTTGCTATTTCCTGCCCATTAGCCAATTTTCTACCAATGTCAATATACTACCTCAACACGGTAGGCTGTTATCTTTTGACTTAACATTCTGTGAGGTACTTTGTTGAACACCTTCTGGAAGTCCAAATACAACACATCTGCTAATTCCCATTCCAAAACAGTTTACTTTTAAAAGTTTCAAAATAGTTAGCAAAGACAGATGTCATGTCTTTGTCTATTTTAAACAAAATATACTACATCTTGGAACAAGAAAATATCAAGCACCATGCTCCAACGTAGTCACAGAATTTCAAAACATGGCACTCAATTTTACAGACACTTATTTTACATATCTTAAATTTAAAATTACAAATTTTACGAAGGGCAGAATACACTATACATTGCCGACCTCAAGAATACATGCTAACTGTAACAAAAATAACAGTTAATAAATTTTCAAGCACGAGCAGAATTAGCACTCAGTTCCCCGTCGACAATTAAGCATATCAGACTTTCACTGTGCAGACTGAAGGGGTAGATGGACGGGACTACAATTCCATGAGGTAGAGTGAACTTGCCTAATCTTGACTGGTCATAAAACATAGTAGAAATTTGAAATTTTGTGGTATTTGCTTACAGCTTTTTATTAAGGCAGAAAAACCACAGTCCTAATCTATGCTTGCTTAGATAATCGTCTCCAGTTGCCAGAACTGACTTTATAGCCCTGGGCCAGGAAAGGAAAAGTCAGGTTGCCCATTCTTCATGGCCACCTAGTAACCAGTATTAGTTAAATAAGTGGATGTCAGGCAAGTGCATGATGAAATGCTGCAAACCCATACAACTGACATCAGTCCCCTGGACTACTGGCAGAGGACGCAATCCATGCTTGGTTAGTAGCACATGATTAATGCTGGTAATGGGCAGGACCTTGTGACACAAGAACTGCGATGACTCCACCACCAATAGGCTGACGTAGAAACACAGAAGAAAGGAAGAGGCCATTCGACCCACAAGCCAGTTCCACCACTGGATATGGCCTTGGCTGATCATTGAGCTCAATAGCCTCATTTCCCCCGTCTTCCCCCGGCCTCAATATTCTTCAATGCCTTTAGTCACAAGAGCTGTATCTATCTTCTTCTTGAAGACAGAATGTTTTGACCTCAACCACACTCTGTGTAGTGAATTCCAAAGGCTCAACTCTCTCTGGGTGAAGAAATTTCTTTTCCTCTCGATCCCAGAAGATTTTCCCCTTATCCTTATCTGTGAAATTGCTGTTTCTGCTCACAGATGAGCAGTGTCCCTTTAGGCCAGGAAGCAATGAGCAGCAAGTGCTCACAAAATGATACTCAAGCAAAGGTCAATGCCTTCAACAGGAACAGAGAAATTCAAAAACAGGATAAAAAATACCAAAGATAACAATATTCTGATCATTCTAAACAACTGGACGAATTCTAATCGATACTATAGAAACAAATAAGTAACATCACCACTTCATTCCAAGTCAAAGTTAAGTTTAAAACCAGGGAATTCCAGGCAACTTGGGCCTGTGCTACAAGAGTCTATACTGTTGTTATTTTCATGAATAGGTGGTCTGAAACAGCAATCTCATGCTCCAATTTTCATCAAGACCTGTGACTTGAATTTATAGTGACAGTGGAAAACGTTTGTCAATATGTTACAACAACACTGTGGCTGTGTTTTACTGTAATTTAAGTAAACATACGAAATATATAGAGATATAAACATAGGATTGAATGAAGGCTTGCATTTCTGATTATGCAGCTGAAATAACATGTTCTAAGATGTCATATATGCAAATCCTACTATTCAGTCACAGGATGAGGGAAACATGGGAAAGTCAACATATACAATTAACCCATAATGATTATTTTAGTTTCAAAATACTGTGCACAACAAGGTTCAAATTCTGATTCAGGTGTAGCATTGTAATCTCAGAGGTTTGAGGGATTATACATACACTGTGTCGATTTATACTTCATTGAATCTTGTGTTTAACTTGCACAAAAGTGTTTTCTACTTGAAAGATTGTGCTTTTAGAGTACTAGCAATTCCAAGAAATCCTTTTGCACATTGCTTAATAATTCTGCTTATGAAACTGGATTGCAACATAATATGAAATAATGCAGAGAAAGCAACTGCAGATAATTGTAACCTTATACTTACTCTTTCAGGTCTTTAGATGGGGAACTACATGGAGGTAGGAGTGATGTCGCTGTATTACTTAGTTTATCGAGTGTACATGCAGTCCCAATGGCACGTACAACCAACCCAGATTCACCCTCCAAGTCAAAACACTGCAGGTAGCCCACTACGGCATTGCCTCCCATCTCAAGTACCTTTAGGCCAATTTTTCGTTGGAGTTCTCCTGTTAAAATTAAATACGCATTGGTACTCAAGGTGATTAGGATCAAATACACAAACTTTATTGTGTGTTCAAGCACCATGGCATATAAATCAAGATGACATTGCAGGTAAAGCAACTTTTGAGACATTGGCCTACAACCCAGATATTTCTAAAAGTTTAAATTTTCTGCAATGATGTGTGAATTAAATAATGAGTTTTGGTACCGATTTTCTCCAATTTCAGGTCAGAACAAACAGCTAGAATAAAATACATGGAATTTTGACAAAGGTGCAGAGCCAACTTTCCCGTATGAATGTGTGCTTTCTCGGCAATACTAGGTATCCTGTTCCATAGTCAGTAATAATCTATGGTGCAAAAACGTTTTTCAACTAAGCACGTAGATTATTTGATGAATTATAGTGCACATTACAGACAGTGCCATAATTAAAGGAACATTACAGGTAAAGCTGTGTTGCAGTACTAGCCATTGTCAAATCACTGTTGAAAGATTTACTTTGAGGAAATGGTAACCCTAATTGGAAACTCGATCATGGTGGAGAAGTTTTGCTTTAACACGAAGACGTCGTGAATCACTTTGCAAGAAACCTGCTTGTTTAACAAGTGGAGACAGTACCAAAATTGGGGTTTTATGATTTCAAACTAATAAATTTGGAATTTTGACAAAGATGCAGAATTAACTTTCTCATACATAAGTGTGCTTTCTCAGCAGTATTAGGCATCCTGCTCCACACATTTACACAGTATGAATACATTAAGAGTCTTTTGTCACATGTTAATAATGGTTAAACAAACGTATATAAACAAGTCGGCCAAAAATTAACCATCATAATTTTACAAATTAAGTAAACTTCAAATTCTAGAAATCTGAAATTAAAATAAGACACAGAAGGGTGGAATTACACAACAGATCAATTAGCATGTGTTGAGAATAGATCAGTACAATTTTGATATCTGTGATTATTCCAGAGTTTGTCACTTTCTTAGAAGGACACCTAAAATTCAGATCAAGTCTGTATGAAAAATTTGGAAATTTCCCAAGCATCTATTCAACAAGTTGTATTATTGAAAATGTAGACAACCTAAACTTCACTCTCAGGATGTAACGAACTAATTGGCCACTCAGCATATTTGTAAATTGTAACATGCTCAACTACCTCAGATTTGTGAAGTGTCAGGTGCCGGTTATTCCAATCTATAATTGCCCCAATTTTGGTTTGTAGGTTCAATAACAATATCAATTTTTCCCCCATAGCAACATTTTTGAACATATTGCACATAGCACAATACGTAATTTCTGAAGTCACATTTTCACTACCAATTACAGTTACACCATCAAATAGACTTATATCAACAAATATTGTCTACAAAAATCAGATTTTATTTTATTTTACCTGACATCAGTGATATTAACCTCTGTCTGGCTTCATTCGAAGCCCTGGGCGTGCGTATCCTATCAATCCACTGATATTCTGGATCCTCATTCACTACCAATTCTTCAACAAACCCATGGATTGTTACCGCTTTATAGCATTTAGGAATGGACGCAGCTGTGGAGAAACATATACTTCAGAGCTTACTCTGAAAAGGAAGGTTAAAAGGTTGCTTTGAAAAAGCATTAGGGTGAAAATATGATGTGAAAACTTCCATTTTCTGATCGGATTTCAATCCAGTCTGAGGGGATTAAAGTTCCAATCTCGGTTGGTTGTGTGTGGATCTGACAGGAAATGACTTTTGGCCATTTCAAACTAGACCTTAGCAGCTACCTGCCTATTGAAAACAGCTTGACAACTTGGCAGTAAACACCTTCAGCAATAACAAAGGTATGACAGTTCAAAATATCAACAATACAGAATGCACTCAGGAGTTCTACAATATTGATAGAAATAGAAGGAACTTTGATGTTGAAAATTGGTGCAGAAAGTGCAGAAGTGTTCTATTCACCACAGAGACACATATCAGCTTTATTTAATTAAATTCTTTACAGAATTACTTTTACAAAGTAAAATATATTCATGGGCCATTCATATTTTACTAATCTGATAATCAGTATATTGCCAAAATTTACAGACACAAAAACAATTCAGGATTTTTTAATTTTTAAAAAAAAAACAACTTACTACAGAAGAACTTGACCCCACACGATGATTGTCTGAAGCGGTTCAAATCATTGAAAAGATCCACTTTCACCATAACATTAATTTCACCTCGGATACCTGTTTCAAAACAAAAATAAACCCATTTACTTGACTACCACAACAAGGCAATAGAGCCAAGCATGGGTTCACCTTCACAAATTGCCTCCTGGCTTCAAGTGCTGTTGGATTTTTGAACATAACGAAAGTGAATGAAGTTCAAACATGTCCTAAATCTTAGCATAGTTCTTTCAAAATTTCAGATTTTCCTTGCTTTCAACATACTTATGAGTCACCTTCTTTAGCTTTCAGTTCATTACTGTTTCATTGGCTTAAGTTGCAGGAAAAAAATGAGAACCCATTTACTCCATGCAGCTGATGCAAGTCAGCAACATCGAAAGATACCAATACCTCAGTATTGTTAACTAACAAAATGACAATCAGCACATACTACTGCAACATGTTCTAAATGTGACACACTACATATTGGATATCACTCACAGACAGGCCTTCTTTTATAAAACGTAAAAGGCTCATAAACATCAAATTTCCAACGCACCATCCACCCTGCAAAAAAAAACTTGAGAAGAGAGAGTAACTGAATTCTTCAAAGCAGAGATTGACAGGATTGCTGTTTAGCAATCATGTAGAGTGCTACAGGACACCATGCAAATAAATAAAGTTAAAACACAGATCAGCCATTATTTCATTGACCAGTGGAACAGACTCATGGGGCTCAATGACCTTTCCCAATGTTTCTGTCCACCTCTTGTTAACAGACTTAAACATATGCTTAGCAATAACCTGCTCACCACTGCTCAATTTGGGTTCCAAGAGGGCTAGTCAACCTCGGACCGTTTTAGATCCTTGATTTCAACAAATACTGACAAGACAGCTTAATTCCAAGGTGAGGTGAGAGTGCCTGCGCCTGACATCCAGACTGTAATTGACCAAACCTGGCATGAAGGAAGTCTAGCAAAATACAGTCAATGGGAACTGGGGGTAAGCTCTCCCTTGGTTGCAGTCAAACCTGGCACAGAGAAAGATTGTTGTGGTTGCTGGAGGTCAGTGATCTCAGCTTCAGGACATCTCCGGCAGGAGTTCCTCAAGGGAGGTCCCATGTACAACCAACTTCAGCTACTTCATCAATGGCTTTCCGTCCATCATAGGTCAGACATGGGGGCATTCGCACAGTGTTCAGCACCACTCACAACGACTCGGATACTGAAACAGTCCATGTACCAATGCAGCAATACCTGAACAATATCGAGGTTTAGGCTGACATCCGGCAAGTCATACATGCCACACAAGTGGCAGGCAATGACCATTTCCAACAAGAGAGAAGCCAACCATCTTCCCATGCCATGCAATGGCACTACCATTGCTGAATTCCCAACTAACAATAAGCCTGGGGGTTCACCATTGACTAGAAACTAAACTGGATAAGCCAAGAGACTAGGAATCCTGCAGCAAGTAAATCACCTCCTGACTCCCCAAAGCCTATCTATAAAGCGCATGTCAGGAATGTGATCGAATACTGCCCAATTTCCTAGATGAATGCAACTCCAAAAACACGCAAGCTTGACGCCATCTAAGACAAGGCAGCCCATTTGGCAATACACTGACAAACATTCACTCCCTCCAGCAGTGAGGCTCAGTAGCTGCAGTGGGCACCATTATTAAGATACACTGGAGATATTCACGGAGGCTCCTTGGGCAGGGCTTTCCAAAGCCACGATCACTAACATCAAGAAGGACAAAGGCAGCAAATACATGGGAACATCACAGCCTGCAAATTCTTCTCCAAGTCACTAATCATCCTGACTTGGAAGCATTTCACCATTTCCTTCTTGTCACGGATTCAAAATCCTGGATTTCTCTCAAACAACATTGCGGGTTCACTTACATTAAACGAACTGCAGCAGTCCAAGGAGGCAGTTCTCAAGGGCAATTTGGCTTCAGCAAAAATGCTGGCACAGTCAGTGACACATACATTCCATGGCAGAATAAAAAAATAAATATTCAAAACTGCCAAACAAATGGCCCTTTCATTCATTACAGCTTCAGTTTACCTTTAATGCAAAGGTAGTGAGTTCTAAAACCATGTTACATTAGTAAGTTTATATCAGCAAACTACATAAATTCTCAATAAACTGGCAATCAACGTCAGCATTTACCCATGAGGTAAGTGACTAATGAAGGAAAAGTCCTGAAAGTCAGATGTAGTAGCTAGAGGTCTGAAACAAGTCTCCATGAAACTCTCAATAAATGTATGATGACCCAAAAGGTGTAAAAATCACTAAACAATGAAGGGGAAAAGAAAAGCACATGGAGCAATGCAAAAGAATTTCAGAGTATAAATCTACAGGCTGCATGTAAGATATGAACTTATTGCACACACGTTGTACATGATGAAAGAAATGTCAAGCCATAAAATTGTCCAAGGTATTGCCCATATTTAAGAAAACATTCCAACACATTTTATGTGCAGAAGTCAAATGCAATACATCATAGTAATAAACATAATTAAACATTTGCATTCAAATCGGGTTCCAAGTTTAGCTTTAATCATTTGGTTATTTTCCAGACCTTGCAAATTCCAAACATTCACACAGCAGGTATCAGAATTAAAACCACATTCTGTAGAGTGAACAATATAGAAGCGGACAAAGGACTGTGCAACCTTTGCCTATCTTGTGCTTCTACAATTCTTGAAGTGGTCAGATTTTCTCACTTTGAAAAGTCAAAATTCTCCAAATCATTGTGGCTTGTAGGCTTATTTGCTTAGACAAAAAAAAGACAGAATTTTCTAGCATGTAAGATTCTCAAACCTTCCTTCGCATATTCTCTCATTGGTTTCACTGGATAGATTCTTTGGAGACAACAGGGGTCCCACTGTTGAGATTGAAGGCAGGTAGCAATGCCAATTTGGCAAGCAGTAAGACATTATGTAACATTTTATCAATAGTAGCCAATAAACTTGCTGCTGTAACCTGGAGTTAAAGGATACATGTCCACAAATTAACACATAGAATCAGGTATTAGGAAATAGCCTTCCTATTTCCCAGCTCATCCCCACAGGCTGCAGACCATTATAACTGGAAGTCAGTTTGCAACATATAGACTACTCATCCTACTATTGTTCAAAGTATATTAGTGTTAAATAATCAGGTCTTAATGTTGGAGCTGATCTGTCATTTTCAGAAAAGGCCTGAGTTAGTTGTAATGAGTGGTAATGCCACTGAACTAGCAATCCAAGACAAAAACTGGAGTGCTGGAGACAGTCAGCAGGTTTGGTCACATCTATAGAGAAATAAAAGTTTACATTTCAAGCCCAGTGACCCTTCATCAGACATCAATTCTAAACAGGCGACCTCATTCAATCCCACAAAATACATTTAGGAATCAACAGGATAAATTGGTAGGGGGTTTTCCCTGGTTGTGAAGTCTAAAACCAAGGAATGTGGTCTCCAAATAAGGGACAGGCTATTTAACGTTAAGAAGAGGAGGAATTGCTCCATCCAATGAGTGGTAAATCTGTGGAATTCTCTATCCCAGAGGGATGTGGAAGATCTGTTGCTTAGTGACTTATTTTGTGGGCCTCTTTTGGCTCTAGCAGGCTATTTCCTGTGTGTAAACTATCCTGAGAACATAAGAGATGGTGCAGGAGCAGGCCATTCAGAATTCTAACAGGGTTCGGTTACAACATTTTGCTTACAAGTGTTCAAAACAGGATCTGAAACAGAATACTGCTTTTGATACCAGATGACAGATAAGACTGATCAAGTCCAGGAGGAATGAGATTCCAGGAAGGTCTGTCCTGAGAACATATAAATGATGCAGGCACTTAAGAAATATTGTGCTAATGATCATATATATTGTGATGGACAATATCAAAATACACTGTCAGAAAAATATAACACCAATGGAATTCAGATCATAATTCATGAAAAATCATACTCACCATGAATAGTATCATAGATTGGAAACCAGCCAGACAGAATGGCTGCAGCTTCATTTGATAATAAAGGGTCAATATCAATGTATACTTTTCCAATAGCATCATTAGCACTGTAGGTATCATGATCCAGAACTGTGATCTGTAATGGCTCATCTTGCAAGTCTTCATCATCGACCTGTAAATACATTTCCAGGTATTTATAACTGAATTGCAGAAGAGATTTAACCATATCCTATGACCAGTTTTAATGGACAGTGAATTCTACTCTATGAAATATTCATAAACTGGTGTCAGAATCATACAGCACAGAAACAGACTCTTCGGTCCAACCAGTCCATGCCGAACATAACCCTAAACTAAATTAGTCCCACCTGCCTGCTCCTAGCCCATATCCCTCCAAATCTTTCCTGTTCATTTACCTATCCAAATGTCTTTTAAACCTTGTAGTTGGATCATTAACCCAATCTATACCCCTCACGATTTTATAAACGTCTATCAGGTTGCCTCTCAACCTCTGACACTCCAGCGAAAAAACTCCCAGCCTACCGAGCCTTTCTTTATAACTCAAACCTTCTATAACCGGCCAAATCCTAGTAAATCTCTTCTCAACCCTTTCCAGCTTAATAATAGCCCTCTGGGGATAACTGAGCAACCAGAACTGGACACAGTATTCCATAAAAGGCCTCACCAATGTCTTGTGCAACCTCAACATGACTTCCCAATGCCTATACTCAAAGGAACAAAAGCAAAGTTGCTGGAAAAGCTCAGCAGGTCTGGCAGCATCTGTGAAGGAAAAAAAGACAGTTAACATTTTGGGTCCAGTGACCCTTCCTCAGAACCTATACTCAAAGGACTGAGCAATGAAGGCAATGCTCACTCAGATAAATTTATAAGAAGATAATTACAAAACTGTTTTCATTCTCATACCCTCATACTGAATTGAGCATCCGTGACAATGCTGTCAATTTAAAAAGGTTAATCTGTCCTTGGTTTTCTTGAGAAAAGGTTGTAAAGGCAGACGTGACCGTAGAGTCTACTGAGTAATAGTTTAACAATGGAAGGGGAGTGGCCAGTTCTCCCAGTTCAGGTTTTTCTAAGATAACAAGGTGTAGAGCTGGATGAACACAGCAGGCCAAGCAGCATCAGAGGAGCAGGAAAGCTGACATTTCGAATTTTTTTTTAGCTGTAGCAGTCACAAGACATTGGAGTCCAGAAGTGTTGCAAGCTTCAGTGAAGGATTCCTCTGACTTTCTCTGAAATCTCTCTCTAGATGTTGTTCCCTCCTGCCTGTAAGGATCTGTGTTTGAGTTTACCTTTTTGCCAAGAGGTGTGTTTATGGGATGTTACGAAATTGGAACAGTTAATTAGTTAAGTTACCGTATGGCTCAGTTAGGTTTTCCGAGAGTTAAGTTACTCTAATAACATGTGGCATTGCTCATCAGAAGTCTGCTGTAAGGACAGAGCATTATACCATCCAATAAATGAATTATATTATGAATGTAATGGTTTGCTGCTCTGTTGAAGTTGAGCATCTTCACAGCCACAACTTAATTACAAATGATAACATCCATTAAGCTCCTCTTATTCATTCCATACGGAATGGCCTTGATATTACCTCACCTGTAATAGATGTGAAGTAGTTAGGAATGGGGAGCAGATGGCTAAACCTTAAAAGACTGGGAATATATCCCCAACCTGATACGTATATCTTCTTCCATTTATAGGAATCAGCAAGAGGAGTGTTTGCTCAGAGTTTTTGAAAGACAGGGCACCACTGTGTAATTGGGTTTACTATGGCTAGCTGATGGCTTGGACCATTCAGCAGCAGGAAAAGCAGCTGAAAAGGAGAGCTTGCGGAGCAATCAGCAAAGAAGACAGGGGTGAAGTAAAATGGGTGCTGGGAGGGGAAGGGGAAAAGGCAAAGGCACACTAATCCACAGGTAGAAGAAATATCAGATTACATGAATAATACTAACAGGCAGCTTTTGAATAAAACTAGTTTCCCAACGGTGTTATTATCAAGAGCTGTCAGGTGAGATAGTATAGTACAGCTGAAAAAGATTGATACTCCCCCTGCTCTGTTGAAACAGCACAAAATTTGAGGAAAACAAAGGTATGCATTTGAATAAGATGCTAAAACCTTTCCAATAACTGTGCAACTTTGCAAATCACATAATAAAAGGAAGAAATGTGCCCTTTTACCTAAAACCAATTGATCTTGGACCTGCTTAAACAGCAATTGAGACATTATGGCCTGAAAGGGACACAGCTTTACTTAGCAGAACAACAGATTCCATATTTCATTGAATAATACAGTTGCTATAATACAGCACAATATCCAATTTGCTGTGACCAGACCAGAGTTACAGAACACTAGTACCTGTTTTTGTTACAGTCTCATGCAATAAAACACCTCACAGATGATTAGTTTCATTCCATTTGCATCAGTGACTAGTCAGGACTACATGAAAACTCAAGAAAATCTAATAATTCAAGACAGACACTGAATCAGAAAATAAATTCATTGAATCAAATCCCTGAAAAGTTTTTCCAGAAACTTTTCATTGTTATTTTCTTCTATTCAGAAACTCAAATGTGCAGGGCTTAAAAAGAAAGTGAACATCAATACGTAGGTTTTCATTCCTACTTCCCCTGGACAGTTGTGTTTACTCTGAATATCAATAACCCAATGCAGTCTCAACACAGGCTCTACCCAAATTGTTCTTCATTAAAGCAAGGTCAGCTACAAAAATACTGTAATAATAGTAATGCACCATAAGTCTGCTTACACCTTTGGACTGTAAGTGACCTGGTTTACGAGAACTTGTCAGAGGATCAGTCTGCTCAGTTTCAAACCTTCAGTTGTTGCTCAGATGACTCCTGTTCTGGAACTAGCTAACTTTTGCTCAGAGGCACAGCTTCTTCAACACCTTTCTGTACAGTCAGTATGATCAAACCTTGAAACTACCCAGTCTTCAATAGGTGACCACTTTGACCTCTGGCAAAAATTACAAATTTATCGTCTACCGTGTTTGACAATCTCCATTTATTGGGACATTTGCTTGGTTTCCCTGGAAAAAGGCTTATCTCCTGATTTTAAATGAACCTTGACCTCGGGCGAGCTTGTTCATGGCTGCTGCAGCTCTGCTGTCATCTAATCAATTGTACGATATTTTCATGGCTTGGTTCTGTGGTCAATCACACTTTATTTTACTGACAATTGGTATATCACATCTGGCTCACTGCGTCTACTTTAGTTAAAAAGACTCCAGTCAGACACAGTGTCACCAGTTCAGTTCATAAAGATAAACTTATCCCTTCAGAAAACAAGAGTCAACATTAAGAAATGGCCCTGTGATTTTCTAATGATTCAGTCACAATCTGACAGATAGATCTTTCAAAACAGCAGGCTTAGCATACTTTTTTTCTCATTCTCATCAGGTCTGGCAGTTATCTGCTAAGAGGGAAACAGAGTCAAATCCTCAAGTTGGTCCTCCTCAGAGTAAGACATACAAGATTCTTAGGGGTCTGAGAGATTGTTTCCCCTTGTGAGATAGTCTTTTAAGCAGTAACGGAATCATGGAATATGGTAAAAATACAGGGAAGTGGAGCGGACGAGGAAAAGATCAGCCATGATCTAACTGAATGGAGGAGCAGACTTGATGGGCCAAATTGCCCAATTCTGCTCCTATTTTGTATGATTTTAACTTTTCCAGTCAAATTTTATTTTGCTTTATTTTGTGGTAAGGCAGATGTTGCTAGAAATCTTACCTCAAACTTAAACCATTCTGAATTCCACTGGGGGTTGAGTGATTTAGGGAACACATCAGTCTTAAACGTTGTATTACCAAATTTTACCTGCCAAAAAACAAAGGTTACAGGGAGCATTACACATTTTTTAAACTCTTACTGTCAAGACTTGGAAGAGGAAGACTTGGAACACAGTCTCATCCTTAGGCACTAATTTTCTATCCACTTGCAGGCATAAACTGCTAACAAATGAACCGCTAATGCTTTTATATAGGATTTTCCACAACCTCGAAATGACCTGAAGAATTTTACATAAATGAAGTACATTAAAATTACAATTATTCTTATGATGTAAAGAATTGCAGGACAAATTTGCATACAGCTGATCTCACAAACATAGAACATAGGATATAGAACAGTATAGAACAGTACAGCACATTACAGGCCCTTCGGCCCACGATGTTGTGCCGACCTATTATCCTACTCTAAGATCAAACTAACCTACATACCCTTCATTTTACTATCATCCATGTACCTATCCAAGAGTCGCTTAAATGTCCCTAAAGTATCTGACTCTGCTACCACTGCTGGCAGTGCATTCCACGCACTCACCACTTTATACCACTGTGTAAAGAACCCACCTCTGACATCTCCCCAATACCTTCCTCCAATCACCTTAAAATTATGTCCCCTCATAATAGTCATTTCTGCCCTGGGAAAAAGTCTCTGGCTATCAACTCTATCTATGTCTATATCATCTTGTACACCTCTACCAAGTCACCTCTCATCCTTCTTCGCTCCAATGAAAAAAGCCCTAGCTCCCTGAACCTTTCCTCATAAGACCTGCCCTCCAATCCAGGCAGCATCCTCGTAAATCTCCTCTGCACCCTCTCTTCCACATCCTTCCTATAATGAGGCAACCAGAACTGAACACAATATTCCAAGTGTGGTCTAACCAGGGATTTATAGAGCTGCAGCATAACTCACGGCTCTTAAACTCAATCCCCTTGCCAATGAAAGCCAACACACCATACGCCTTCTCAACAACCCTATCAACTTGGGTGGCAACTTTGAAGGATCTATGGACATAGACCCCAAGATCTCTCTGTTCCTCCACACTGCCAAGAATCCTGCCATTAACCCTGTATTGTGCATTCAAATTCGATGTTCCAAAATGAATCACTTCACACTTTTCCGGGTTGAATTCCATTTGCCACTTCTTTGCCCAGCTCTGCATCCTGTCAATGTCCCGTTGTAACCTACAACAGCCCTCCACATTGTCCACAACTCCACCAACCTTCGTGCCATCATCAAACTTACTAACCACCCTTCCGCTTCCTCATCCAAGTCATTTATAAAGATTTATAAAGATCACAAAAAGCAGGGGTCCCAGAACAGATCTCTGCGGAACACCACTGGTCACCGAGCTCCAGGCTAAATACTTTCCATCTACTACCACCCTCTGTCTTCCATTGGACAGCCAATTCTGTATCCAGACAGCCAAATTTCTCTGAATCCCATGCCTCCTTACTTTCTGAATGAGCCTACCATGGGGAACCTTATCAAATGCCTTGCTAAAATCCATATACACCACATCCACTGTTTGACCTTCATCAATGTGTGTTTTGTCAGATACTCAAAGAATTCAAAAAGGCTTGTGAGGCATGACCTGCCCCTCACAAAGTCATGTTGATTATCTCTAATCAAACTATGCTTTTCCAAATAATCACAAATACTATCTCTCAGAATCCTCCAATAATTTGCCCACCACACAAGAAAGACTGACTGGTCTGTAATTCCCAGGGTTATCCCTAATCCCTTTCTTGAACAAGGGAATAACATTTGCCACCCTCCAACTGTCTGGTTTTACTCTAAGTTGAATGATTCTCTACTTCTTCCCACTGAGGATTGCTTTGTATTTTCTTTGGACCCTGATTCTTTACACTTACTTACTCGTACTTTAAGTTCAAGCAAACAACAATATCTCCTGCAGCTCAGAAAATGATAAACTGAATAGAGAACAGCTAAGGGATTTCAGGATACAGGTGTACCAGGTGATTAAAAGCAGCATCATAGGTTTATTTGCTTTGCTGACCTAAGAAAGCACTGGTATTGATTTCTAGGCATAGAACTCAAAAAAATGAGTACAGTAATCAAAGGAAGTGATATTATGTTAGTTATGATGCCAACATCAGGCCACATTTAGAGTGCAACAAAGTCCCATCATTCTCAGAAGATTACATCTCAGAGAACATTGCAGTCAGTGATTTTCACAAACGCACACACAATACAGAACACATACACAATGCTCACATTGCTATGCACAGTGGTATCAAGCAAATTCCTGAAAGGTTGGCATGACAGTGAGAGGACCTTACTGTACAGCACTAAAATCGAGAGTTTGCAGATAGTGTGAAAGATTGAACCAAGTGGGGTTTTTGCTTTTTCAAAACAGAAAATGTAAAGGCACCTTGATAGAGGTCTTCAAAATCATGAATGGTTTGGAAAAGACAGATGCAAAGAGAATGTCCCAATCTGAGGTACAATCCAAATCTGGGACCATTAATGCAAGGTAGTTAATAATAAACTCAAAAGAGACTTAAGAAATTTCTTTGCTCAGAACAGTTAGAATATGGATCTCAACATCACAGGAAAAAAATTAAGGCAATAGCAGTGATGCTCTTAGAAGTGGATGAGTAACGAGAAAAGAAGGAATTTAAAAAATCATGAAAAGCTGAGATGAGGTTAATGGAATGGAATGAAACTTGTGCAGAACATAAACATCAACACAAAATTGTTGGGCTGTGTGGCCTGATTATATGCAGGATATTCAACTTAATTCTACATTAACATTCTAACGAAGTTGGGAAGATACTTGGGCCTAACTTAACATCGGCAATGCTGGGCACAGTTCAGATCCAACTCCTGGGAAAAGTGCAAGTAATAAACTCCATGCCTGTCTGCACTTTTACAGTAGCGCCATGGGAACTTTCACACCCACCAGAGGAGGTAGAAAGGACTTTGATCCAACATCTCAATTTAAACTATAGCCTCTCCAACAGTGCAGAACTCCCTTAGCACTGCACTGGAGTATTGCTCAGGCCTCCCGACTCAAGAGATGAATGCAAGACCAACTGACCCATGTCCGACATCTTGTTGATGGGCTTCTTGCTCAGTTCACAGGAGCGAATGTAGTGCTTTACAGTCTTTTTGTTCTCTGAGCTGTTTCTTGGGTACTTTGTTTGCTTTTCTTTACTCAGTGTTGCTCTCTCTATTTCTTGCAATTGATGTTTGCCTATTAGCATCTCCTACAGTGGAAGGCAGCCAATTCACCACATCAATGGTCACATCTCTTCATGTAACTCCTCACTTCATAGCTTGGTGCTGTTAAATGCTAATCATGTAAGACATTTTATGTAATTTGTACAAACCTCTACAAATGCATCCGTTAGGTCACTGGCCCTGTCCATAACTGGCAAGTGACGGCCAGCCACAATCCTGACTTTCAGCTTCCCCGGCATTGTTAGTCTTTACTGCAAGAAAATAAAGACGGGTTACTTGACTGTATCAGTAGATCTGGCCTCAATTACTTGTTTCAAAACCACCAGAGGTATGCAATAAGAGCATTAATTCAAGACATCAATCTTGCAATCACTGGGTTAAGACAAACAAACTCTCTCAAACAGAAGCACTTGACAGAATGGGGTCAGTCACTGCAATACCCAATAATGAAAGATGCCAATATTTCTGATCTCATTTTACTTCATTGGCTGGTGGGGAATATATTTATTGTGTGCCACTTTTAATATTGGAGATATATGAGTTGGTGTATAAATTCTTACTTTACTTTCTTCAAAATTAACTTATTACTTATATCTTATTCTGTACATTTCCTGAAATTCAATGAAAATAGCTAACCCAAAAAAGAAGTTTGAGTGCATCCAAAGAAGAAAAAATAAAATTCAAACGTTTGGCACTAGATGACAGAAATATATCACCCTTTTATTTCATGATTTCTAGATACATGCCCTTCAAATGTTTGTTTTAAATTCAAAGTCTCCAAGATTTGCTGCATGCAATCAGGGCAATAATAATCCATGTTAGCATATCATCATTCACATAAAACATTTCAAAGTGCCATGCAAGAGAGAAGGTGTGGGGGGTGGTCGGCAATTACATACAATTGAGAGAGAATTAGAGGAAAAGAACAGAACTGCACATGGAAAATGAAGTTAAAAAGACAGAAGTGGAAGTGTAGAATGCTAGGCAGTAGGGACAATGTGGTTGAAGACAATGTCACAGACCGTGAAATCGAAAGATGGCAGAAAACGCAAACCAAATTATGCCAAAAATTGATTTAGGCAGCACGATTGTTCAGTGGTTAGCTCTGCTGCCTCACAGGTATTCACTTTGGAAGGAGTAACAGGAATACAGAGTACTGGGCTAATAGTAAGATTCTTGGTAGTGTGGATGAGCAGAGAGATCTCGGTGTCCATGTGCATAGATCACTGAAAGTTGCCACCCAGGTTGATAGGGTTGTTAAGAAGGCGTACGGTGTGTTAGGTTTTAGTGGTAGAGGGATTGAGTTTCAGAATCATGAGGTCATGTTGCAGCTGTACAAAACTCTGGTGTGGCCGCACTTGGAATATTGCGTACCGTTCTGGTCACTGCATTATAGGAAGGATGTGGAAGCATTGGAAAGGGTGCAGAGGAGATTTACCAGGACGTTGCCTGGTATGGAGGGAAGGTCTTAAGAGGAAAGGCTGAGGGACTTAAGGCTGTTTTCATTAGAGAGAAGAAGGTTAAGAGGTGACTTGATAGAGACATACAAGATGATCAGAGGATTAGATAGGGTGGACAGCGAGGGCCTTTTTCCTCGGATGGTGATGGCTAGCATAAGGGGACATAGCTTTAAATTGAGGGGTGATAGATATAGGACAGATGTCAGAGGTAGGTTCTTTACTCAGAGAGTAGTAAGGGCGTGGAATGCCCTGCTTGCAAAAATAGTAGACTCGCCAACTTTAAGGGCATTTAAATGGTCATTGGATAAACATATGGATGATAATGGAATAGTTTAGGTTAGATGGGCTTCAGATTGTTGTGCTGACCCGTGAAACCATCGAGGACCAAAGGGCTTGTACTGCGCTCTAATGTTCTATGTTCTACAACACCAGGGATCCAGATTCGATTCCAGCCTCGGGTGTCTGTCTCTGTGTTGACATGGGTTTCCTCCCACAATCCAACGATGTGCAGGTTAGTTGGATTGGCCATGCTAAGTTGCCCCATTGTATCCAGAGATGTGCAAGCTAGTGGATTAGCCATATGAAATGCAGGGTTACAGGGATAGGGTGAGGGTGGTGGTTGGAGGTCTGGGCGGGATGGTCTTTAGACAGTCAGTGTGGTTTCGATGGGCCGAATGGGGATTCTATACCAACAGGGTGAAGGAGGTTGCAAAGTTAAGGCAGAACGAGGCTGGAATAGACTTCAACTTAGAAAAGTGAGTTTGAAACCAATTAACAGGATTCCTGCCTCAAATCTGAAAGATTTGAAAATTAATCACTGGAGCTGAACAAGGCAGCAAAATAGCTGAATAAGTGGATATATTAGCAAAAGTAGATGTAAGCGACCTCTGCAATGATCTAGATACAAGGCCACCAAGGATGTACACTCTCTCAATCAGTTTTAAATCAGCAGCCAAATTTGGAAGTGAAAGCAATGACCAAGGTGCAAAGTTTCAGTTAAGAGCAAAATGGTTTCTTCTCAATGTTGAGTTAACACGATGGTATATCCAAGATTTTGTATCAGACTATGCGATGTGAGGCTAGGATCAAGGATGATAGCAGAGGTTGGATGTCTTGAAAGCACTTGGCAGCGAATTCGATTCTTGCACTTGTTGCTAAAGGGCAGCATATAGATAAGAAAGATAAAGCAACTATATCATGCTGGACAACATTAAGATTTACAACAATGTTTATCACCACCCTCATAAAAGCATTCAAATATTAACAGCAAGAGAAAAGTCTGCTCTACACCATCTTTATAAGAGCTGGATTTTTAAAATTAGCTGGGATATTATCAGTGTGACAATAAATGTGGAAATTTATTGATACAAAATTAGATAGCTACAAGTAAATGATTGCATTTAATTATATGGTAAGAAAGACAGAGGGGATGGCCACTGAATTTACTGATACTGAGAAACGGCTAACAACCTGAAAAACTAATGGAGATGGGGTACAAGAGGCACTGTGAAAAATGACTGTTGCTATACCAGCTAGACAACAGTCTCAAGTGCTGTACATTTCCATGTCCAGCTTAAACACAAATAAGCAAGTTATCATGCAGTCATCATTAAACTGGTGAAGTGCACTGTGCATCGATTTGAGGTTAGCAGCAGAGTACACATACTTAATACTTGGCTCCGAAATGAAAATTAACATACAAGACAAAAGCATTTTAAATAATTGATTTCTTACTGTATCTTTGAGGTTTTTGAATATTGTTGATAAGGGATAGACCTGCAAATGAATGAGCAGCCAGCATGGGGAAAAATTATATTATTGCTTAAAAATGCCTTTTGCATAACAAAGTTGTTTTTCTACAAAGCATAATGCAATTGGATGATTCAGCTCACTCTATGAAACCATGCAATGGTTACAGTTCTACACTATTCGCAAGAGGCATACTGTCACATCAATTTACAATGATAAACGGCAAGAAAAAAAACTAATCAAATGTGACATTTATGGACAGACCTGATTTCTGATACACTATTGTGACATTTCGAAACATACACAAGTAGGATTACAATTGCATGGACGATATGCCTCACGTCCCAAATGTTTAGCGAACAAAGCAGACATAACTTTCAGGTGAGTTAGGTCAGCCGGAAAGGTGGTATGCTTTCTGCATCTGTATAACTTGTATCTGTTTACAAAATACTAAGTAAGTATCTCATTTTTGCTGTTTGATCCTGCTTTCCATTTTGATATGGAATCATATACATCTGACAGATTTGTGGATTGCATGTGCTTTATTAATAGTTCACAGACACTTTAGATATTGCAAGTTGGAAGCATAAACTGAGACTTTTAAGTAAATTTTGAAAAATAGTGGTGTTAAGACATCTTTAAAGGTAGTGAAAAATCTACTCCAAGCTTTTGCAGCCTCTCTAGTGGCTTACCAGCTGTTTCTCTGCCACCCATCTGTCAAATAACTTGGTACTCTTTAGCAAAGATGCTTGATAGTCGATGCCTGATATTACTAATTTTTAAGAAAATTGAGCCCATGACTGACTGACTGACTGAGTGGAAACAATTGCCAAGTTTTAATAATCCTCCATTTTCAATTTCTTCACTGAATTATGATCATTCTTTCGGTGGACTGAACAAGCCCTAACAACTTGGGAACATGTGAAATTACTGTTCATGCTTCCAATCCAACAGATCTTCAGCCAATTTAGCCTACTTCTGCCCCTTTACTGATTAAAGCAGGTCAAGTACTTTATGTAGAAATACGTTATCCTCAAAAATCATAAACTTCTATGTAAATATTCTGTCCTGTATCAGTATTGGTAGCATTTCAAATGTGAAGCCTGTCTAATTTCCTTCAAAACTAGATTCCATCTACTTCAGTGCACACTCACATATTTTAGCACCAATCACTTATGCTGCATAAACACAAACAAGAATTCAAAGGCAACAATAAACATAAAAGCAAAGCTGTTAAACCAACCCTGCACAACAAAATGCACATGACAACAGGGCTGTGCATGTGACTTGAGCTCTACAAAGTATAGTGGATATCAACTAAAATGCTAACAAATATATCAAAAATTTCCCAGGATTCGGCGCCATTGAGGAATGAAAGACAAAATGGACCTTATCCTTGTTTATGAACGAATTCAATTCCAAAACATTAAAGATATTAAGCCAAATCTCAGAGGTGATGCTCTCACACATTCAAATGAGGGGCTAAACATTTTTAAAACCTTTAGAAGCCACAGAGTTGACATCTGAAGACAGCCAGCACCTGTGAGATTATGATTACATTCAGAAGGAGAAATAATCTTGAAATTGGGTCTAAGCCAATCAGGAGTGAAATCAGGAAGCACTCCTCCAACAGAAATAGCTGAAATACAGAAGTCATCTCCCCAACAAGATCAGTGGGTAACTGAAAGTTTTGAGATAAGGATTTTTGGTGAATAAGCATATCAAGAGATGTTGAGCATTGAGATTAAATATGTACATCATCCATGATTTGACTGAATGGTACAACATGGATGACAGACTGAGGGCCTCTGCTTGCTTATTTCTAATATTATTGCCCAGCTTATTTCGTACTCAGTTTAGACAACAGTTAGATATAAATAATATTCCATCGTATAAATATCTTTTACAGCCTCAAGGCTGCTCCAAATCACAAATGACTTTTGAAATGCCTTCTTTATTACAATGTAAGAAGCGTAGCAGCCAGTTTGATCACAGGAAAGTCCAAAAGGACTAAAGTGATAAAGAACCAGGCGATTTCTTTTAATGGTTTTAGTGGAAAGTTACCCAGTGGCCAAGGTCAGCAAGGACTTTTCTGATCTTCAAAATAATTTCAAGGAACTGAACTGCAAACAAATGCACTGAAAACTATGGGAAGGAAAAATGTGAAGGAAAAGAAATATGGCCAGTGTAGGAAAGCCCAGTTAATTCTGTTGGTGGAACATGCTTGTGACTGGAGGCGCAGTAATCGGGCAGATAAAACAAGGATGTGGGGGGAGGGAGTGACAGGGAAAACCCACAGAATGTGTCTGAGAAAAACACTGATTTCTTGCTTCAGCACAGAAAGCAGGGAGGCAAAAGCAAGGGATGGAAGATGGTGAGCAGTACTTCTAAACCTGATGGGAGAAAGTTAGGGATTGATGATAGCTCAGCATTGCTGCAACCAAATAAATGGAAAGTTGCACGTTATGGTTCCAAGTGGCGATGGTTAACAGGTGACTTCCTAATTCCTGACAAGGTTGGGGAAACCGATTGGATAATAGTTTTCCAAAGAATACTGGGTAGACATTTGGAAAAGGCAACATTATAATCATGTGAAGGAGGAGCCTGGGGAGCAGAAACTAACTGGAAGAGACTGTGCAGATTCAATGGGCCAGCTCTGTAATGAACCGTGTGTACAAGGGAGGAATGCATTGGGGTTTACCATCCAACAGCAGCAGCCTGGATAAGACAGTAACTGTCAGGTTGAACGGTGGGGGAAGATGCCATTCCCACAAGACGCTGAGGGAGGTGCGACCAGTGCCTCTGTCCCTCAACGCCCGATCCGCCGCTGGAAGGAGAATGAGTACGAACCTCGAGGCCTCAGGATCCGGCCCAGCGGCCCCGGCGCAACTCAAAGCCCCGCCATCCGCCTCTTTCCCCCATCACCCGGGGCTAGGGCCGAGGCCTCGACAGGCACCAGGCCCCGCGCCTCACCGACGACCGACCGAACAACCGGGGGACTCTTCAACCTCCCGCTCTGATACTACGGCTCTTCTGGGAGGTATTTTTCTTTTATGTTTTCTTTTGAAAACAGAAGAAAACGAAACCGCAGATCTCCGGACCCCCCTCCCCGTCACGGCCGTGACACGCTGATCTTCTTCCGGTGTTACCTGCAGCTTCACTTCCGGGTGAGCCCAGCTGTGGTCAAGGAGAGTCCCTGAGACTGAGAGGGAAGGTCACCTATCCCTTTGGTGGCTAAAACCAGCAAGGACCCCTCTCACAAACACAAGCACACATCTTGTGATGATCTATGGTTGGGCTGAAACTTAGTCAACCCCCTCTCCTGGCAATTTCTCTTGTATCCCTTTCTTATAGCTACCTGTACGTGGTACCATTGATCCCATGGGTATTGGATCTGGGTTTACAAAACTTGAAGCTCCAGACCACGCCGAAGAACCTGGGGCTGCTCAATGGCTGATGTCTTAAGCAGGAGGCTGGCAGAGGGGCCATTGAAGGTGAGAGGTGACGCAATGACATTCCTCAGAATATGTCTAGCCAGCATTGACAATGCAGCTCCATTGATCACTCAAAAAGCAGTAATGCCATTGGCATCAAAAAGGCCATAATGACTCCCTTAGTGATGTCAAAGGGGCACTGTTGGAATGGAAACAGGTCTACTGCTTACAGTGCAATATGATGTGATGGATGTTTATAGTGAGGACAATATGTCACAGTTTCTCCCCAGGGTCCAGAGTATTTTTGACAGAAAGGAGAAACTAAAAGCCGTGACATTTGAACTATTCCTTGAGGAAATTATTTTACATAGAGAGATATAATGAAAAACTGGGACTCCTGCCAAAATGGCATGTTTGGGTTCATTGAATGGGACTTGGATTGATTAACATGGGTTGGTGCTTTTACCACTTAGTTGCAAATTTCCCACCAAACCAATGGTCCAGTGGATAAATAGCACAAAGACTAAAGTATTGAGGGGCTGCTGTGTGAATATCATAATTATTTTGATTTTGAGAGTTAAGCAACTTCCATGTTTCACATATATAAGTACAATAAATGGCCAAAATGAGTGATTTGTTCCTTCCAATAGGTAACATTTGTCAACTTGAGGAATAAAACCCATATCATGTCAAAACAAAAACGTCAGTATGCAGGAAAAAAAACCCATTAACATTGTGTTCTGACTTAGAAGGGGAGAATTAACCAGATATTGTCAACAAAGCTGGAAATGACTGGATAAGTATTTTAAACAAAAACTTTAAGGTTAGATTTCTGTTTATGTATCCTTTTTAAAATTTCTGGAATTTAACAACACAACCTGCATATTTCGTAATTTTTAAGCAATGGTTGTGGGATGTTGACATTGCTAGCAAAGGTTGTTTTGAGGTCATGGTGAGTCACATTCATGAACTATTGCAATCCATATGGTGAAGATACTTCCACAGTTGTGTTAGGTAGGGTGTTCCAAGATTTTGACCTAGCAATGATGAAAAAGCAAAAATATTTACAGGTCACATGGTATGCAACTTACTGGGGAATTTGCATGTGGTGGTGCTCACATGCACCTGCTGCCTATGCACTTCTTGGTAGAATTGCAGATTTGGGAGGCTGTCAAAGAATCTTTGACAAGTTGTGCAGTTCATGCTGCAGATGGTATACACCATACCCTCACCATGCCAGTGGTAGAGAGGGTGAATGTTGAAGGTGGTGGATGGGTAAGCAGTCTGCTTCTTAAGTATTGGAGCTGCACTTATCCAGGCAAGTGGAGAGTATTCCATTACAGTTCTGACTTAGGCCTTGTAGATGGTGGACAGTTTTTGGGAGGTCAGGAGGCCAGTCACTCACCACAGAATGCCCACTCTCCGAACTGCTGTTGAAGCCACATTAACTTTCTGATTAATGGTGACAACCCAGAATTTTGATGCAGAGAGATTCAATTATTTTGATACCATTAAATGTCAGGGAAACATAGAGAGTCTGTTTTGTTAGGGATGATCACTGCCTGTGATATAATGTGACTTTTTTCTTATCATCCCAATATGGAATGCTGTGCAGCTACCACTGCATGTGGACATGGATTGCTGCACTAACTGAGATGTCACAAATGGAAACGATCACTGCAAACAGCACCACTTCTAACCAAGAAGAACTCCTGCGACTCCAGGATTTTAATAACTGATTTCAATAACTCTTACCTTACGCTACGCATGATGGCAGCTAGTGGAGAGCTTTCCTTTGATTCTAATTTACAGCAATTTCATTAGAACCTTGAATCTCAAACTCAATCAATTACTGCCTTACCTCTGGAATCCAGCTTTTCTTCATGTTTGAACTAAGGCTGTACTGAGGTCAGGAGCCAAGTGGCCCTGATGGATCCTAATTGTAGCAGGTTATTGCTGAATAAATGCAGATTAATAGTGCTGTTTACACATTCCATGACTTTGCTAGTGATGGAGAGTACAGTAATGAGGACAGTATTTGGGTTGATTGGATTTGTTCTGTGTTTTTGGGCATACTTGGGCAATTTTCCACATGACTGGGTAAATGTTGTAACTGTACTGGAATAGCCGGGCCAGGAGAGTGACTCTGGAGCACAGATCTTCAGTATAACTGCGTTTGCAGTACATGGTTGGTCCTTCACATAGGCATTAATCAAATTGGTTTAAGACTCACATATCTAGAGAGGAGGTGAATGTTGAAGGCGGTGAATGAGGTATGTAGTCCGCTTCTTGAGCGTTAGAACTCCATTTATCCAGGCAAGTGGAGAGTATTCCATCACAATCCTACAGAGTGATGCTGGGGACCTCAAGAAGAGGCTGAGATGAGTTGTTCACTTGATACTTCTGGCTCACCATGTTTTTAAACACTTCAGCCTTGAATTTTGAGCAGACATGTTGGACACCGTCATCATTGAGGATGTTTATGGAGCCTCCTCCTGCACTAAGATATTTAATTATCCACCCAAATTGGCTGTCATACTGTTATAAAATAACATCTCCCCATTGCCAGTGCCAATCTACATGGATGGCCAGAGGCAAAAGCATGACCCAACCCAACATCCTCCGGTTTGGACTTTGTCCATCTGCGAACATATGAAGGAAAAAGCAACAAAGGTCAAAACCGGAAATAACCTATTAACCAAATTTGTTAGATCTTTGTGGTTCACTGTCATCACAACATTCTAGATCTCAGCACTTGCCCTATAATATGCACAGCAGAGTACTTATTGTGCACTGTCTGGGAGATGTCCACACACGCACACCTGAATGTAGCAGTGCATATCATAAATCCTCTGTTCAACACCCCTCCCTTGACTTCCTATCATGGAAACATTGGAATAGGAGTAGGCTGTTCCGCCCACTGAACATCACAAACATTACTCTCCCACACATTCACTCATTGATGAAAACCAACAATTAGGTTGAAACCGTCCCTGTTACACCTCAATTACCACTCCATGATGACCTGTTCAATTCACCTACCGTGCACCCTCCATCTCAGTACCCCTTATGGAGCAACATTTTTGAGCAAAACCTATCTTTACATCAAGGAAGAGGAAACACAGAAAGTCACTAATGTGTTCCTGGTATCAAAAATCATGATGGCAGACTTCGAACCAATATGACATGAGGAATTTTACCAAACAGGTTCACTGTGCAGCCAACGTCCACTACTGGGGCCTTAGTATGTGATGTATTTATGAAGAGATACATCAATGGTGCACATTAACAATGACTAAACGGTGGACTAATTATCATGCATTGGGCAAATGAGGAAGATATGGATTGGCTTTGAGGATTTGCTTTCAGCAAATCAATAAGTAATACGGCAGAATTTTGAAGCTGGATGGTTAAGTAGATCATGTAGAGTGCAGAGGAATCCATTTGGCCTATCGTGTCCATGTCAGATCCCCATATTGTAATCCACGCAGTTGCACATCACTGCGATCCCCATTGCTTCACCTTCTTCAAGTATGCATCCAATTTCCTTTTGAAGTCATTGTTTCTCCTTCCACTGTGCGTGTGGGCAGAAAGTTCCAGATCATTATAACTCACTGCCAAAGAAGGTTCTTCCTCACATTCCCCTTGCACTTCTTGACCAAAATCTTAAATCTGTGCCCCACGAGCTTTGTACAATAGACTGATGGAAAGAGTTTTTCTTTCCCTACCTTATTTAAACTGTCATAATTTTGTACATCTCTATAAAATCTTCCCACAATCTTGTATAAATAAAACAAAGAAATCTGGATGCTGGAAATCTGAAACAGATTCAGAAATTGCTGGAGAAACTTAGCAGGTCTGGGAGCATCTATACCGGGAAAACAGAGTCAATGTTCTGAGTTCAGTAGCCTTTCTTCAAAGGTTCCCACAACCTCCTTTGCTCAGAAATGAATAACCCCAGCTATTCCAACCTAACCTCACAGCTTAATTCACCATCCTTAATGCATTTTGGTAAACATCCTCTGCATTTTCTTGATGTCATTCACATGTTCACTGAAGTGATGTTCCAAGGAGTATTATTAAATAAGATTTGACACCCAGCAATGTAGTGATTACAGATCCAAATTCTTGCTCGAAGAGATGGGTGTCAAAGAACATCTCAAAGAAGAAGACAGAAAGATTAGCGGAGACATTTAGGAGCAAGATTTTAGAACTCAGCTGAAGGTATAACCAGCAATGTAGGAGTGATTAAAGCCAGGAAAGGGAATTGGAGGAGCACAGAAATCTTGAGTAACTCAAAGAGGTTACAGAGATGGGGAAACGGTGAGACCACAGAGGATTTTGAATACTAGAATGTTTTCACAGAACAGTGGTCATGCTTCAAACATGAATGATTGGTTATGAAGGTGTTTTCAAACAACCTAATATAAACGCACTGAAATCTAAAAATGCTGCAAACTCAAGGCAGGTTGAGTAGCATCTGTCTGGAGCATTCTAATGAACAGTCATTGAATTAAAACATTAACTCTGTTTTACTTTCCAAAGAAACTGACCAGAATTTTTTCACCATTTTAGTCATACTGTCGTACAGCATAGAAACAGGCCTGTTTGCCCACTGCATCTATGCCAACCAGGAAACACCAAACAATACTAAATGAAAACTGAAAGAACTGCGGATGCTGTAAATCAGGAACAAAAACAGAAGTTGCTGGAAAAGCTCAGCAGGTCTGGCAGCATCTGTGAAGAAAAGAATCAGATTTAACCTTTTGGGTATAGTGACCCTTCCTTAGAACAGACCCTTCCAAGAACTGAGGAAGGGTCACTGGACCTGAAATATTAACTCTGATATTTTTCTTCACAGATACTGCCAGACCTGCTGGGGTTTTCCAGCAACTTCTGTTTTTGTACCAAGCTACACTAATCTCATTTACTTGCACTTGGTCCACAGTCTACTATGCCCTGGCATTTTAAATGCTTATCCAGATGCTTCTTAAATGTTGCGAGAGTACCTGCTTCCACCACCCTTGCCTAACCATTCTTTCAACCCTGGCCTCTAACAGCTCTCTGATGTAACCTTTATTGCTCATCTATCTGTTCATAGAATCCCTACAGTGTGGAAGTAGGCCATTTGGCCCCTTGAATCAACACTGACCCTCCAAAGTGCCTCCCAGCCAGACCTACGCCCTTACCCTATACCCTTTAACTGTACATTTCCTAATGACCAATCCACCTAACCTGCACATCTTTGGACTGTGGGAGGAAACCGGAGCACCCAGAGGAAATGCTGCACAGACGCGGGGAGAACGTGCAAACTTCACACAGACAGTCGCCCGAGGCTGGAATTGAACCGGGTCCTTGGCACTGGGTCACCCCTATGTATTATGTTGTTGATTTTTTTTAGTTAATACTCCAGTGAAATTTTTTAACTTGCTTCTTTCTAAGCTCAAAATGTGTCATTCCTCATTCTTTTCATTAAAATCTTCTATTCATTCTGTCCAAGGTCCTTTACTCCTTACATTTCTTTGTCTGGCATTTCAAAAGCGCTGTTCAGGTTTAAAACCCCAAATATCTTTTTAACTCGCTTGTGGCCTAAACTGGTGTTTCTGATGCTTCATTAACATCTGACCTAATATCTTTGTAGGTGTCTCAGTGTCACAATCAATTTTCTAATGCTCATATGAAGCAGTTGAGATGTTTCATTAGATTAAAGACATGACACAAACATAGGTTGTTGTTATTTCTTTTAATTTTAAAACGAAAATATTCACCAGATTGTTGAGGAACAGTATCATCTTAGTTTAGAGATAGTAGGAACTGCAGATGCTGGAGAATCTGAGATAACAAGGTGTAGAGCTGGATGAACACAGCAGGCCGAGCAGGAAGGCTGACGTTTCGGGCCTAGATCCTTCATCAGAAATGGGGGAAGGGAAGGGGGTTCTGAAATAAATAGGGAGAGAGGGGGAGGCGGATAGAAGATGGATAGAGGAGAGGATAGGTGGAGAGGAAACAGACAGGTCAAAGAGGCGGGGATGGAGCCAGTAAAGGTGAGTGTAGGTGGCGAGTTAGGGAGGGGATAAGTCAGTCCAGGGAGGACGGACAGGTCAAGGGGGC